ATATATATATATATATATATATATATATATAATTCAGATGACAATGTACGGGATCGGTGTCCTGGTAAAGTGTCATTACATTGTGATCCTGGAAAATAGGTTAACAGTTAACATTAGTGAAAGAAAAATATATCATAGGTGAGATAATCTTTAATGATAATGGTATATCGTTGATAAATTATTCAATTACAATTAAGGCCTTGTATTAATACATTTCAATGATTATTTATATAATTTATAACAATTAATTACATTAACTGAAATTAATTTAATTTTAAATATATAATTTGTATAATGCTATAATTGTATCTAATTATAAACGGATCACATGAGTATAGCCTACATTCGTTCGTGCGTTCACTTCATTTCCTAAAAGGCATGTTAACGCAAATGAAGCAACACGCGTGTACCACATCAAGTGAAAGAAGGTATTTTGGATTTTGGATGATTCGTTTCAGTACCCATAAAATAAGACAAACTGTCTTGATAATGGAGACAGTGGTAATGATGACGTATGCTAAAAGACGATGACGGTGTGGTGGTAACGTCAAATACGATAAAGACGTCAATGATGGTAGTGACGTCAATAGTGGTAGCGACGTCATTGATGATAAATATGTCAATGATGTGACGTAGTAGCTATGGCAATGATGCTAGCGACGTCAATGACGGTAAAGATGATGGGTAACGCGACGACGATGGTAAAGAACTTGATAATTAATAAGGTTGACGACAACAATGACTGCGTGCGGTTGATGATGATGATCATGATGATGATGATGAAGACGACGTTATTAGGTGATGATACTGATGATGCAATTATGGTGGTGTTTGTGATGGTGAGGTGATAAATGATGATGTCGATGTTGAATGATGGCGATAGTATAGGAGTAAAGTGGTGGCTGTAACAATTAAGATTTGGGTCGAAAATACTATGTTACGGTAATCAAGAGACTGTAAAAGTTAGGCATGTAATGTAATAACCGATGGTGGGTGGAGGGGGTGGTGTTGAGAGCACCTACCGCATAAAATTTGTGAGGATGATGTCTTGCAATCAAAGATTCTGTACTTATACAGCACGATGTAAACGTAGTCTTCGTATGGACACATTCCACTCTTCATTACGGAATCGTAGCAATTATCATGTATGAGGCAACATCTGCATAGTTAGCATACGGTTAATTATTAATACATTAATTGTCATACGATGGAATGATATTCAAATACTTTTTATAACTTTTAATAGATTTGGTAGTGCTGACATTGTTTCGTGAGGGCGCCATTCTTTAATTTATCTAAAGTCTCAAGAGAATCCATTGTGTTTTTAGTATCGCACTACAAATATCTTAAAATCTATAACTTACTGGTCAGTGTCATCAATAGGCTTGCCAGTACCCCCTAAACCACAATAGCAGCCGTAACCGTCGTAGTCCAGCCACGATGTTATGAAGCTTCTGTCAGTTTGGCAGTGTATCATGTCACCGAATTGACCAACATTGGCTAACAAATCAGAGATAAAAACATTAGCCTATAATAATGTTCTGATGATTGTTTGTTGAGACCTAATGCTATCCACGCACGTACAAACTAGAAAATATTTCTTCAATCATACTCAAACTCCGCGTCACAAGGATTCGGTTACCCGGCCCCGGATCGTTTTACTCAATGTGAAAATCCGATACGCTTAAGAGGTAAAAGAAATGAATTGTTTAATTTGTGTATTTAACTATCTTCCTAGTTTATAACTGAAAATTAGAAAGAGAATTTTAACAAAAAATGTAAAAATTTGGTAGTAAAACGTCTGTATCTCATTGAAAGTTTATTTAAGGGATTTCTTTACATGAGCAATTCAAATTTGTGTTTAGAATTTCAGTATTGTACTGAATATCTTTAAGGCCTACAACTTGCAAAGCGACACAAGCGGTGGCCCATGCTCGCATGTTTGTGTTGAATGTGTTATTAGTGATGATTCGGAGCCCTATTATAATCTTCATTATGTAAGTAGCCAGAAAAGGGTATGTCGTCCTACCTCGCACTACAATAGCGAAGTCTAATATAATACAGTAATATATATATATATTGGTAACATACTTACCGGATGCCACGGCAACTAAAGTCAGGAAAATTAAAACCTTCATTGTGATTGATTTGATGCACCGCTCTGACAGAAGTGTCAATAGGTCTACTTATCCAATATAAGCAATAATCAAGGTATATGCCACCTTTATAAAGGAAAGTTTAACATAGTTATCTAATCTTGCTTTACTAATTGCAATTAATTAAACATTGTACGCATTGTTACTAATTGGGGAGCTAAAATTATATACGCTGAGTTTAGAAAAAAAAAAGTAACATCAGGTTGATACTAACCTTGGTAATTATATTAATTTCTGATAATGACGTTTCTAAAATGCATTATACACGAACATTCGTCGGGTATTACTTATACATCTGTGCATATACGTAAATAGTGTTATCTTTGATTAAATTACATTAACAATTAAGGTTGTTGGTAAAGTGTTGTAATCGTTTCAGGTAGATAAAATGGTTGAGTGAATAGAACAGGGATAGATAGAGATGTTTGCTAAAGTAAGGACTTATTGCAATTGCATGAGAGTACGATCAGAGCCGAGGTATTTGTGGAATTATTGACGTTCTATATTTAAACCCTTGTGCGTATAATCAATTAATCTGTTAGACAAGTACAACGCATACGCCTAAATGATCTAGTGCAGACACGCAATGTGTACTGTGTAATAATTATAGGCGACTACATACACTGCATAAAGTCCTGGGTTCGAATCTCGGTTGGGCCATTTTCTTCATACTTTTAGATTACTTACATCCTGTCTCTTATACACATCTAGATGTGTATAAGAGACAGGTACTATCTCTTTCGAATTATGTGTGTATACATGTAGGCCTATGTATGTCAGTGTTCTTTCAAAGCTATTCTTGACGGCATTATTTGCCCGAATAGAAGTTTTCCAAGGGGAAAATTATGTAATCATATTTAATCATCGTTCACATTCAAAAGCTCTTATTTCCCGTCCTATAAGAAAAAGTTTTGCATTTTAGTAAATTTACTTAAACATGGTACTGTACTTCATTGTATTGAAACTCTTTTGTAGCCAATATACAAAAATATGCCATTAGAAATATAAATAATAAAAGACTTTTTTATCAAGGCAAAGTAAAACATGCTATGGAATTTGGAGGTGTTTCACCATACCAACGTTGCTAGGATATCATTGGATGTATTATTCTTTATTGTTGTTAAGAGAAAGAAACGTGTACCAATGAAAATGTAAATACCAATTGCTTTCATATAGCAGTTAGTTGAATCATGGTTGAATATCCGATTGGTAATGGCCCTTTTCGCTAAGCCCTGCCCCTTGGATATTGTTGCTAAGGCAACAAAAAAAACCCGACAGTTGTTAAAACACACGCAAACACGTGGGTTTGTGGGACAACGCGTGTGCTTGTTAAACACGCGCGTATTCTTGGCCCTGATTGGTCTGTTGGTTTGATTGACACTCCTAAAAGTCCATTGTAAGTTCTTGGGTTCGTTCCCAGACACAAATAGTACTCTTTTTTTTTTTTGCTCAAGGTTTTTTATTTTTTTATTTTAGTGAAATTTATTGACATACAAATGAACTCTGTTAATATTTCAGTGATGTAATTAATCAATTAATATGTTGAATCTTAAAATGTATTTTTATGCTATAAAACATTCGGAAATGTAAGCCTACTTGAAATTACCTCTTCCGAGGTCATAACTTCGACTTGATAATTATAATCATCGTCATCATTACCATCTGCATCATTACTGTCTTCGTCATCGTCGTCGTCGATATCATCATCATCATCATCATCACCATCATCACCATTATCATCATCACCGTCACCACCACCATCTTCATAATCATCATCACCATCATAACCGTAACTATCATCATCAACATCACCAACAGCTTCATAATTATCATTAACACCACCACCACCACCATTATCATCATTATCAACAACAGCAACAACAACAACCACCATTTAGTAGTAGGCCTATTAGTATTAGTGTTGTTATTCACCATCTAATGGTTTACTGACCCTCCAAAATATCCGCCGAATCACGTGGCTCCTCCAGGCTTCTAAACACAGGTGAAATATAACAGGTGTCTAAACACACGTGGAATCCAACAGGTGTTTGTGTTTATTCTTGTTCTATCAAATCGTGTTCTATTTATAAGAGCACTATGCTTTAATTTCAATCAATATTTGAATACAATTAGTAAATGTGATGGAATTTAAGATACATTATGCTGTGCTATGAATCACGTCCATAGAAGTTTCCTAATCCGACACAACTTGTAATAAAACAAATAATAATTATATAATAATTATAATAATTATAGAAATAATAATAATAATAATAATAATAATAATAGTAATTTGTTTTGTAATACATTTTAAATGAATTATATTTATATTGTAATCATTATCATTAGACCTAACAGTAACATTAAATAAAGGTATTAAAGGGAAAATATAATACAATGACACCAACAATAATATATAGGCCTATAT